TTATCCCTAAACAATGTACTCCATGCTCCCAAACTCATAAAAAATCTTATTTCAGTTCGTAAGTTTACCACTGATAATAATGTAACTGTTGAGTTTGACCCTTATGGTTTCTTTGTGAAGGATTATCGGACGGGGAGGCCCATAATGAGATGTAATAGCACGGGTGATCTTTATCCTCTCTCCAATACCACATCCAAATATTCTTCCTCACCTTCGAGTTTTGCAGCTTTAGCACTTTCTCTTTGGCATGATCGATTAGGTCATCCCGGGTCGAGTATTCTACATACTCTTCAGCGTAATAAAAGTATTGAATGTAATCGAACTTCAAGTTCTGGTATTTGTCATTCTTGTGTTCTTGGGAAACACATTAAATTGCCATTTTATTCTTCTATGTCATCTACTTCTTTGCCGTTTGATATCATACATAGTGATCTTTGGACATCTCCTGTTTTGAGTTCTTCAGGACATCGTTATTATATGCTCATTTTGGATGATTTTACTAAATTTGTGTGGACTTTTCCCTTGGCTAAAAAATCAGATGTGTTTGATAAATTTTTAATTTTTCAAACTCATATTCGCACACAATTTGAGCGTCCTATCAAAACTATCCAATGTGACAATGGGCGGGAGTATGATAATAGTTCTTTTCGGGAGTTTTGTGAGTCGAATGGGATGTCTTTCCGTCTCTCTTGTCCATATACGTCTTCACAAAATGGTAAAGCCGAAAGAAAATTAAGGTCACTCAATAATATCACTCGCACTCTCCTCTCTCATGCCTCTTTACCACCATCATTTTGGCATCATGCTTTACAAATGGCAACTTGTTTACATAACATTTTACCTAGCAAGTTGTTAGGGAACAAGTCTCCTCTTAGTGTTCTATATCACAGGGAACCTTCATATTCTCACTTACGGGTTTTTGGGTGTCTTTGTTATCCTCTCTTTCCTTCCACCACGATAAATAAACTCCAACCCCGTTCCACTCGTTGTGTGTTTTTAGGTTTCCCTCCAAACCATAGAGGCTATAAATGTTATGATCTTTCCTCAAATAAAATTCTCATCTGTCGTCATGTACTTTTTGATGAAACCGTGTTTCCATTTGCTACGATGCATACTCCTACTGCCACAACTTATGAGTTTTTAGATGAAGGCCTCTCTCCCTATCTTATTCACCATATGCAGGCTGCCTCATCTCC